TTCTTCTATCCACTTTTTGAAATGAGAATGTCATTGCTATGCCTGTCCCACCATATAGAACTTGTCTGGTTTCACAGGTTCACAGCTGGAGAGGAATTTTGCTTAAGGATAAATTATGCCTCTATTCTCACCCATATGTGATTTAGATGATATTTATTTATTCATTTATTCATTCATTCATTTATTTATTTATTTATTTATTTATTTATTTTGGATCAAAATTGATTATACATATCTTTGGGGTTCAACATTGAGATATGTTGATCAAATCAATATTACTAGTATATGTATATTATTACAAATCATAATTATTTTTTATGCCACTTGTCCAATCTCTCCCCGTCTCCTTCCTCTTCCCCCTCCTAATCACCCTAGATTTCTTCTCTCCTTCTGAAAGAATAATGGTTACTCTGTTGATTTGTTGCCTAGATGATCTGTCCAGTGCTGAGAGGTGTGTTCAGGTCCCTCAATATTAGATCCCTCAATCATAGAGCAGATGCTTCTTCTGTCATTCTGAAATGGGCTTTGTGGAGTGAGATATCCTCTTCTTTTCTTTATCTCTGCTGGTGACTCTCCTTGTGTCAGTCCACTCCAGTGGTTGGTGGACCATCAGCATGTGGTTGTGGCATCTAGCCACTTTGTGGCAGCCATGGTTATTGTGGTGGCTGTGGTGGGCTACCCACACGGATGTGATGTTTTTGGCATGCTTCTTGGTGCTGGCAGTGTGCCTGGTTGTGGAGTGTGTCTGGTCCCCGACTCTGTGCTGATTTACATGATATTTAGATGAGAATTTGGACTTTAGACTTTAGAGTTGATACTGGAATGAGTTAAGACCTTTGGGGTTACTGGAATACAACGAATGTATTTTGCATGTGATAAGGACATGAATTTGGGCGAACAAGGGGCACAACACTAAATTATGTTCCCTCCAAAATTCATGTTTAATTCCTAACCCCCAGTGTTATTGTATTTGGAGATAGGGCCTGTAAGAAGGTAATTAAGGTAAATGAGGCCATAGTGTGGGTCCTGACCCAATAAGATTAGTGTCCTTATAAAAAGAGACATCCGAGAGCTCACTCCCTCTGTCTCTTCACCACATGGAGACATAGTGAGAAGGCACTCATCTACAAACCAGGAAGAGAGGCTTCACCAGAAACCAAACTGGCCAGCACCTTCAGCTTGGATTTCCCAGCCTCCAGAGCTGTGGGAAATAAATGTCTGTTGTCTAAGCCTCCTAGTCTATGGTATTTTATTATTGCAGCCCAAACTGACTAAGACACTCCCAGTTAGTCACCTTTCTGCCACCCTATCTAGGGATGCAGCACTCACCCTCTATATATTTCCTATCATCTCTCTTTAATTAACTCTTCTTGGCAGTATTATCATCTAACTTATAATAAATGTATTTTTAATTTATCCTGTCTATTTTCTCCTCTTGTTAGAACATAAGCTCCATGAAGGCAGGAAATTTTTTTTGGTCTTATTACCTGCTGTATCTCCAATACCTAAAATAGTACTTTACCTTTTTGTTCTTGGAGCAGTAACTTTTAAGTGCCAAAGAGTATTGAACTCAGCCTAGCAACTCAGGAAAGACAAATAATTGAGAGCAAGTAGTAAAGAACCCAAACAAATAAAAATGTACTCATTAATTAAAATGAGAGAAAATAAAGTAAAAAAATGTAAACCTGTTGAAAGAGTGATAGTGTAAACACAGTCTTGTAGCAAAAAGTACCCTCAGCAGCAGTTCATAAATTAAGGCACACTACCTCACAATCATAGGTTGAAATTTTGTAAGAACAATTTACTATGAATAATCGATACTTCCAGGAATTTTCAACACATATTACTCTGTGGTCAGTCCAAGAAAGCTATATACATTATTTGCTTTGCAGGAGAGTAAATATCTGAAATAATGGACACAAATCTATTTAAGCATAATAGTTATCATATTTCAATTTATTTCCATGTAAATTGTTTTTTTTACATGCTGAGTTAGTACAAAGAATTATATAAAAAAGATAATTAAATGCATTGAAAAATATAAAAAATAAGTGCAGCATATAAGACTACATGATTTTTAACTAAAAATCTTTGGGTTGTGAAAGCACCACTTAACTCCTTATTTGAAATCCAGCAACAAACTCACTGCCAAAAAGCATATTCTCTATTGAATTAGATCATCACCCCACAGAATACAGAATGTGCATTACTAAGGCATATGAATGTTCAATAATATATTTTGGTAACCACTAAATGTCAAATATTATCCACACAGGGTATTAACACATTAATGTTTTCATTAAAAAAGAAAGATCTCTTTTCTCATTACATCATGCACTTATAGAATAGATATCTATCAAATAAATTACTGCAAAGTAGTTCAAGCTAAACCTTGTAACACTTGAATCATATAATCAGGGGCAAATAACCTTTAAAATGAAAGATAAATGGTGAAGTTTAAGGGATTTAATTTGCATGAGTATAATGTTAATGGTCTTTTCCTGGTTACACATTTTATACTTAATTTATATATGTCACTCTACTAGGTCTTCANATCAAATAAATTACTGCAAAGTAGTTCAAGCTAAACCTTGTAACACTTGAATCATATAATCGGGGGCAAATAACCTTTAAAATGAAAGATAAATGGTGAAGTTTAAGGGATTTAATTTGCATGAGTATAATGTTAACGGTCTTTTCCTGGTTACACATTTTATACTTAATTTATATATGTCACTCTACTAGGTCTTCAGCACGCTTATAGGTCAGTTTTAATTTTTTCCAATTTTACTTTACCACAGTTAGTAATATTGAAGTAGTTTATTATACATAAGAATAAGGTGCTCTCACAAAAATAATTCAATGTAACTCTAGAAACATTTCGGCATCAGAACCATATTATAATTTTTGTGTTGTCAATGCCTTCTTTAAAATAAACATTTATGTTTTAGAGTCTTGTGCCTCTAAAAACTCATGTTCAGCTCTTGGACTCTCAGAACTCAATTCCAGGGACTTTCTCCAGGTCAACAGTCATTGTGACCCTGGTGTGCGGGAGAAGCCTTAGGACAAAGGGCTTTAGAGAGTACACAGTTTGATCTTTCTTAACTTTGCATATAACATTAACATTTGACACCAAAGTTATTGTCTTTAAAGTTTTATATGTTATACTTTTACAATAAACACTGTAATGCACCCAAATACAACTGCTTAGACAATACCGTGTCAGTTTTAACACTAAAATACAACAAACAGTCGTCGCTTAACTATAATGATTTTAATGTCATCCATGGTCCATAATCTGTAATAAGTTAGAAAA